AGGCCGCCAGGCCTAACCCTTACACAGGGATGGGTGGACATAGCCGAGGACGGCTCGTTTATTCCCCACAGGTGGGGGTAATGTCGTGATTGTCTCACATGATCCCTGGGACAGAGTAATGAAGAAGGCGGGAGCAAACACTCCATGCTCTGATTGGTTAGAGCATGGTGTATGCAAAATGGAAAAGAGATATAGGGTTGGGTGAGTGTCAGGTGGAATGGTTAGGCCAGGTGAGGGTAAGAGATGATTGGTGGAGACAGTGCAACAAGGGGCAGGGCCAGAAAGAGCTTAAAAGAGGGAGCAGGAGGTGGAGTTTGGGGTCTTGCGGGAGAAGGCGAGGATGAAGGTGTGGACCCATGCTGTGAAATAAAGACCTTACCTTGTGGATAAAGAAAAGGGCCAGGGTCTTATTTCACCAGTATAAGTCCCAAAAATGTAAGCTCCCCAATTCACACCTGCACATCGATTTGCCCTTCAATCCCAAATTTATCACCATTTGCTGCCACATATGTGCTGGTGACAGGCGTCAAGCGATAGGACAGTAACAAGTCGAATATCAATTTGGAAATAATAGTGGCCGACGCCCCAGTATCCATTAAAATTCGTACCTCTACTCTTCCCACTGAGCTCACCACGACCGAGATCCCTGGGGGCTGCCGCTACGACCAGCCAAGCCAACTTCTTTCACTCTTTGCCCGACTCGGGCCACTGATAGATAAGCGAGTCCCGACCCTCTCTCGGGAATTTCACGACCCCGTTATCCCCGACGCTCACCAATTTAGATGGTATATACTGGATGGCGATGGAGGTGGTGAGAGGCAAGGAGTTCCTAGGTGCATGAGATTAATTATCTAGCCGGGTGCCTAAGGTGTCGCGACATGTCTGATGTTGTTGAGCCGTGGCAGCCAATGATGAGGTGGATGCTCTTGGCGCTGATGGCAGTGGGCCGCTCCTTTATCTGTGTGCAATGTGTCCTTGACAGCTGCAGAAATGGCAGGTGATGGGTGAGCTCCGCCGTGGAGCCACTCTTGGCCCCCACCCTCGAGGTCGCTGCAGAGCCATTCTGCTGGGCCCTGTCCACCCGTGGACCACCACTGCTATTTCTTCTATGCACCCTCCCCTCCCCCAAACTGCAGTCGCGATGGGTGGGATCCTGCTGGTGGTAGATGTGCAGGCGCCACTCCCCAGGACCTCTTCTACTCGCGCCACCACTCGGGTCCGCCAGTTCAATTATTGTGCCCGTAGACACCGGGCTACCTACAAGGAGGTATGTGCTTCCTCCTGCGTTATGGGCAGAGCAACGCCCATCTCCTAAACCAGGGCCAGCATCCTCTCCATCACCAACGAATCTAGCACCGCTTCATCCAGCCGAGGGTAAGCCGCCTGCCCAAGTACCATCAGAGTGCTATGGTAGGTGAGGGGAGACTTTGCTTCCTCTCGCTTGCGATGTTGGAATTTCCTTTTTGCGTTGGATGGCGGGTCAAAGACTTCAGCCATCTCGCGGCAGGTTGCTTGCAGCGTAGCCCTTTGCTATGCGATATGGCATTGAAGATGGTGAGTGCTTCGTCGTTTAAGGCCATGGGTGGTGTCTTTATTGCATCCTCTTCCGTCTAGTTTAATGCCTGGAAAGTAGCCTCGAACCGCCTGGTGAAGGCTCCCCAGTCGCCTCCTACCATCGGCTGAGGTGGGACATCTTCAAGTGACCCCACTTCTGACACAAGTTGTAATTATGACATATTCGTAAAGTTGTTAGGAGCTTTTATTGGTCTTCAAGCATGAGCTTCGGTTCTTCAGGTATGAACTTCGTGTTTTCTCCAAGCATCCCTTCCTTTTGTGCTATCCATTTTTATATTCCTCGAGCCTCCTTTCTCGAATGTTTCCTCACCCTATCTCCCTCAGCCAATCCCATCCTCCCAATGGTTTTCAACCATTCTACTGTCAGTCAGCCTTCATTTTCTCACCATTTGCGTTTTTATCTTTCCTCAAATAATTTCAATTCTCTGTATCCAGCCAATCCCTTTCCAGGCCCCTCTGTACTTCCCCTTTCACCATCCAGCCAACGTGGTCTCTCCCAGATTAGGGGCACCAATCGGATGCCTTGTGCTGCTTCCTGACTGCCCATGTATGTACGCTCAGTGTACGCATCAACAAGTAGTCTGTTGTGTTTTGGTCTTTACACGTTTATACGTGGATGTTTTATATTACGCCGAGCACTGTACACTACAGGCGTGTCTCTCGCTTAATGGGACGTTCTTTATACGCAGGATTCACCCTAACGAGATCATTTGAATTCAGACCCCAGTTGTTATTAAAACGAGCAAAATGTTTGCTTAGTAATGTATAGTGTAGCATATAGTGTATAGGGTAGTATATAGTAGTGTAGTGTATAGAGTCATGTATAGTGTAGCATATACAGCAGTATACTGTGTAGCCTGGAAGGGAGTGCACGGTGAACCTTCAGCTGTTTGTTTACCAGCTGTGCTGCGTGCCCGCGTGTTTAGTCGTGTGGGGGAGGCGGTCTCATGGTGGCACTGGAATGGGTGGGTGGGTAGGGCAATGGCGCTCCATCTCGCATCCCTCCATTGTGACTATGAACCCAGCAACCCTGGTTCTATTCCAAGCCACGTCTAACATCAATGGCGAGTGATATTTGAATCAGCGGTCTTGCATGGAATCTGCTGAACCCTCCACCCACGATCATCATCTACCCTTCAAACAACATTAAATGCAAGGCACCTGCAAGCACTGGTGTTCTTCATGTGTGGGAAAGTGTTTTAAATTTGATGTTTCATTCCTTTATTCTAATATAATTTGTATTTCTCACATTAACCAAAAGTCTTTCAAGAGTATGAACATTTTGAGCCCACGTCGATCCTTTCACGAGTTTTCACTTATTGAGCAATTTTCGCGGAACGCATAAGCGAGAACACACCTGTACTGTAATGTACAGTGGAATGTATTAAGGTGAAGTGTAGTGTGGCATAAAGAATCGTGTAGTGTATGATCAATTTTGTAGTCTGTGCTGTAATTTCGTGCATATAAGTGTGGTGTGTAGGGCATTTTGTGGTCTGTAGTGCATTGTATGAGACGTCATTTGAAGGTGAACGCTGAGGTTGATGTGTGTAGGGGTGAGTAGAGGGTGGTGTGGCTGAAGGGAGTGTGAATCGGGGTGAGTCTGTTGAGGCAGAGGTGAGTGTGAGTAGGGGGTATGTGTGTGTAAATATCGCCACTAGGGAGACAAAGGCAGCCGGGCGTAGTGTTGGCCATCCACCTTCTCGTGTGCAGTGTCAGCCTTCATAGGTGCTCGCTAACAGCACGTTCCACAAAAGTCTGTTTATATCGAGAGCAGAGTGTATGAGGGGCTGGTATCTCCACCTGACACTAATTTATACCAATGACCTGTGAGCAGGACACTACTGCGAGTGGCCACGTGGAATGTCCAAATGCTCACTGTGGAGGAGGGGCTTACATTCCCTGTTTGGAGCTGGACTAGTACTACCTGGACCTCTATGCTATCCAGAAGGTCCAGTGGACTTGTCGCCATGAGGGGTGGACGGTCCTCAATTCGGCAGGAAACTGTCAAACAACAGGGAGTGGCACTTTAAGGAAAAAATGAAGGGGCAAGGCAGTGTGGAAGGCGAAGTCTGACGTCCTAGGCTATTGTGGGCTTGCCTTCCCATGAATAAGACACGGAATTGTGTTTGTGATGTCTTACATACCCATAGAAGATGTACATCAGTGGAGGGATGCAACCAAGGCTGATGAGTAAGATCCCTTTCTCGGACCTCCTCTCCCTGTTGTTGGCTAAAGTGGCCACTCGGGATAGCATTATCCTGTTGGGTGACTTTAATGCCGAGTTGGGTCATGACGTAGGCACCTGGGCTGGGCCAGATCAGCTCAATAACAACGGTAGGAGGCTGTTAGACAAATATGCAGCCCATGGGCTTGTGAGCACCAAAACGCTGTTCTGACATTGGAACATTCACACATCATGGATGTATGCCAGGTCCAATCAAAAACATCTGTTAGACGACATCATTACGTAACAGTGATGTGGGGCCATGACATTGACTCTCATCTGCCCCACTGACCATCGACTTGTAATCTGAAAATTCGCCAGCCATTTCTCCTCCACTGCCGTGGTGGGTATGCACATAGAACCTTACTCAAGCCCACAGTGGCCTGGTCTCGGATCGCTGTTGGCGAAAGTCCCAAGCGAGAATGTAATCATTGGTTGCAGCTGCAGTTGGCGACCCCCCTACCCCCATCACCAATCTCTACTCCCCTCCCCTATGCAACAGCAAATGCTTCCGAGGGCAAACACACGTTGGAAAGCGTCACAGAAACCACGTGTGTGCAAGTGTGTCTCCCTTGGTTAAAATCTTAATACGAGGGGGAATATATACGGGACTTTTTAGTTAGTATACAAAATGATGAATAAAGTAAGAATAGATTTTACCTTTTGTGGCGTTGAAACAGGTGTTAAGATGTGTTTGAACATTTGCTGTGTTTGAACATCTGCTGTGTTTGAACATCTTAACACAACTCCTATTATATTGCCAGAAAGGTTAAAACCTATTTTTATTTTTTGTTCACTAAGGGCACACTTTCCCACATGCCCAGCGACAGAGAAACATTCACCATAGTCAGTAAAGCATCATCTTATATCTGAACGAAGTGAAACCCCAAATTTTTATGAAGGTGCTTTTTAGTGCAGTCATTCTTTGGTGACTGCATTGAAAACCATCAACTTCCTCCACTTCAAGCGCCAGTTTATTCATGGACGCCTGAAACTTTTCCCCGAATCAGGTCCTCAATGGTGCAGTCAGTGTGTCTTGCCTCCGAGATTCCGAGGCACATCTATTATGTTGACATTGAGTGATTAATATCTGATTGGTTGAAGTTGGATCATGGGGGGGGGGGGTAGTGAGTTCGAATAATCCAGGCATCTACGGAGCAGGAGCTGTCCCCATGTTCATTGCGAGTCGCACTCCATGCAGGAGGAGCTGAGCTCGATGAAGCTGCGACTGAGCAAGAGAGAGGGGTCGGAGATCTCCTTGGTGAACGGCCTCGTGGACTCAACCAAGACTGTGGAGGTGAGGGATCACTGTATCATCTCATGGTCACACTCGGACAGATAACCCGTTGTCAATAAAGACTGTAATCCGATACATAATTGCAGCAGAAAGACTCAACAATATATGTCACCTGTAGTCTCTGGTATAAAGCCAGGACACAGAGTCTCCACAAATCGTGTAATGACTCTCGAGGAGTTGAGAGCGACTGTGATGTTCCACTGCTGCCACCGCAGGCAGCAGCAGAGCAGATCAAGTGGAGGCTGAGCAGCAGCTATGACAAGCTCCTGCACCTCCTCTCTGAGGACAAGGCCTCGGCGCTGAGGGCCGTGGACAAGGAGCGCGACCTCAAGCTCTCGGGGATCCGGCAGGAGATTGAAAAGAGCCGGGCAACTCTGGGCAACCTGAGGGAGGCACTGAGCAGAATCCGCAGCTTGGAGGAGACCGAAGACCCCGTGGAGTTTCTCGAGGTGCTGCCATGTGCGTGACGTGGCATGGCTATGGCCCAGTGTGCTCTGTCTGCTGCGTCTGGCAATACACAATCCCTGTCCTCTTTGGTGGCTGCTGGTCGGTAACGTTGTAGACCCTCGCTATGCACCCCAACAATTGGAGGGAAGGCCGATACCAATCAGCTGATACCCTCATGGCACTTGCAGCTGTCACAGTGGCCAATCATTTTTGGACCCCGTGCCCTTCCTAAACATCTGTGAAAAAGAGCGTTCTAGCGCAATGGATTCCGCTAGTATAAATAAATAAATATTCTGATTCTGATTCCTTATGGACCTTCATGGTGGTGGGCAGGCCCAGATAAAGTTGCGTGGTCGAGTCACAACGATGTTATCTAGCCTCTACATTCGGTTTAATACGTAGGCTTTCACAACCAATATTATTCATAATAAAGGTTCTTGGATTAGATCGCGTAAGTATAAATGGGTCAATCCTCCACCACCCGATACAGCCAATTAGTAAGGGATTTGTCATGTAAACAAAGGGCCAAATTGTTACTACTTCAGTGCACCGGTGTGTAGGAGAGTAAATTCACAACATTTATAATTTAAGTACGACGTTTCACTGATAATTACATCCAGCATCGGGCGATTTACCAGAATAGTGGCCAGAATAGTGGCAAATCGCCCGATGATTCTGGGTGTAATTACACGCGAAACGTCGTAATAAAATGGTATAAATGTTGTTGATTTACTCTCCCAACACACCAGTGGGCTAAAGTAGTAACTATTTGGCGCGTTGTATACGTGACAAATCCCTTACTAATTGGCTGTATCTGGTGGTGGAGGGTTGACACATTTATACTGAAGTGATCTACATTAATTTACATATTTTTCAACCACATAGTTCGAGAAGCTTTCCATGGCTGAACTAGAGGGTATTTCCATCTGGTACGGATACAATAAGATAATCAGTGCCCATGAGCGGTCAAGGGAAGACTCCTTTATGGTGAACCATGTTTATGCATGCTGATTTTCCTGGCAATTGTTGCTCACTCTGATAATTTGAAGAGTCTGCTGCTGCACCTGGAGTGTGTCACTTAGAGATCGGCCCCACAATAATTATTAACCTGCCTGCATATTTTTTTTGTCATCAAATACTCTCCTCCCTTCATTCCTCATGATCGATGGAGCAGTTGGGCAGAGAGTGGTGACATTTCTGTACCTGGACAGTGTCCTTATGACCAGATCCCTTTTGGCAGTGGAGGTCTTACTGAATCAGTCGAGTTGGCATTTTCTTTTCATCAGCTGTGTGACGCTGTGTGGAAGCTATCTGACCTATTGCTCAATATGAAGCTCAAAGTCTTGTCCGCCAAATGTATGTGGTTCCTTCACTATGCTTGTGAAACATTTAAACTGGCGTGCCTACAATCCCTCCTTGGTTTAACGAGGCTGGATTGTGTGAGGAGCTTGAACATCTAAAAAAAAATTAGATACGGAGTTCCTCCGGCAGACGAGGCTGCATTGGCTGGGTCGTGTAGCCTGCATACCCAGCTACTTCTTGGCCAAGCAGCTTCAATTTGGCCAGATAGAGCGGGGTAAATGGGTGTCATCGCCTAGAAAATAGATTAATTGACGTGGTACAGAAGGAAGTGGAGCTGAGTGGTCTTGCTGATGATTGGTACCAGTGGCGTTAGTATCAGCCTCTATTGAGGAGGTTTGTGAAGGATGCAACTGAGGAGTAGGAGGCAGTTGGCATTCAATAAAACGACGCTAACAACAACGAGCGGAGCGGCGGGCAGATACAATGCAGCAAGTTGGTACATTAGGCACCACAGATGGTGCATCTGCGAGTCATCTCAGTGAGGCAACCCATGGCACCTGGGTCCATCCAGTGACCTCCTGCCAAGGAGCCATCGACACTTCACGTGGCCTCAAAGTGCAACTGGCCTGGTACAAGTGCTGTGGGGACATCACCACCACTTAGTGGCGAAGAACAGTTGTTCAATCTTGATTTGAAGCTTTCGTGACTGCAGGAATCCATACTCTTTGGTTCTTTCGGTAAAGTCACATAGTAGAAAAAATAATAGATCAGGACGTTTCGGTCGCCACCCAAAAAGAAAGAACCATAGAGTATGACACTTGTTGTTTGCTGTAGGTGTGTTCACTTCTTGATGCTAGTTGCCTCTAACAGCCCCACACACTCAGTACTCAGTGTTTAAAGGGAATTTGCTACCACTCACACTGACACTTTGTATTGTGCATTGACTCTGCTGCATTTTGTCTGTATGTTGTCGTGTTTTAGGGCTGCACTCTACACTGGGCAAGGTAGGGATGCCCCATCGCACTCACGTTCAGCTCTCACAAATTCCATCGATGCTCATGAAGGACCCATGCATGGTTCTCTAGGCTGCCATTTCCCCTGTTCTGAGTCTCTCTCTGATTTCTCCACTACGCCTCCACCTCGCATAGCTTCACAAGTCTGGAATGCGAGCAGATGGAGCCAACTGGGCCCAGCGCGTTGCTGGAGTTTGAGACAACGGCTGCTCTGCAGGAGCAGATAGACGAGCGCCTGCTCTCGTTCAGAACCTCCACACTTCCGGATGCACCGCAACCCAAACCCACGACTCCTAGAGGAGGAATCGGGGCTCCAGCAGCTGTTCTTGTGCCCACGGTGCGGCGGAGGTCAGCTCCATGGGGAGTCGAATCAGTCAGAGCTTCTGGACTACCTGCAGTTGCTCGGCGCGGCCTCGACAGAGCGGAACTCATCAGTAGATGTGAGTCACGCTTCATGCAGCGAGGTTGAGGTACAGTGGGAAGCTGTTGCGGATAGCACTGTTGCTGTGGTTAAGATTGTAGCTGCTTTCATCGATGATGATGATGCTGTGTTGTTGTTGATGGAAGAACATACAAACTCCCCATAGTCACTCAATTGCATTCACTCATGCTCTCACACTAACTCACACTGTAAAACAGGAGAGAAAACACAAACTCCACTTACTCAATGACACACTCTGCCTCACACTTTGATGATGGTTATGGTGGAAGTGGTGATGGTGGTGGCGACTGGCAAAAACAACCCCCTACCTCCTTAATAGTGCTGGTCGGTAATGCTGTGGTGACTGAGGGCAATGCCATTGATGGGAGGCCGATCACAATTGGCTGTTCCCCTCATGACACTCGCAGCCACCACAGATGCCCACCGAGGGCTCTGGATGGGCCAGAGGGCCAGGTGACCCCTCCAAATCACCACAAAACCACAAATAACAGAGATTAAGCTAAGTTATAGATGGAGGCTCCTGGCCATACCTCCTGGCCAAACCTCAATTGTGTGAACCAGGAGACTAAACCCACACCCTCCAGACAGCAAGAAACATGGAGTGGCCCCATGGAATGTCCGAATGCTCACTACAGAGAAGAGGCTGCCATTCCTCTTTCAGGAACCGGACCGGTATCGCACCTCTGCATAATACAGAAGGCCGAGTGGACTGCTTCTGGCTCCAGTCACCATGAGGGGTGGACAGTCCTTCACTCGGGGGTGGAAACTGCCGAACAACAGGGAGGGGCGTTCCTACTGAACAAAAGAATGAACGGGGTGTGGGAGCGTGGAGGCATTGTGTGGAAGCTGTGAGTCCTAGGCTTACTGTGTGTACACCTCCGCATCAACTGAAGGTGAGAAATGGTGGCGGTGGTGGCTTACACCCCCACAGAAGATGAACATCAGTGGAGGGATGCAGGTATAGTGAGTTACTTCGGAACCACTATTCCGGAGGCAACAAAGTTTATTCTACATTACATAACAGTTACACACGGGACTACAGTACACCTGACTCTTACACTCGTTACATACGGGACTATAACACGCCTATCTCTTGCACACACGGGATAACTAGAACCGGGTCAGAGCAGCCAACGTGCTGTCTGACCCACGATGTCAGAGACGGAGATGAAGACGAAGACGTAGCACTTGGGTTCCACTTCACCTGCAGACAGCCCCGATATGCAATCAGGGCTCCCCTTTTAACCCTGCTTGGTGCGACCTGGCTCCACCCTTGGCCGTGCCCCCCTCTGGAACATTCTCGAAGGTTCCAGACGACCTTGCACGTGCCACCTGCCCGGCTCCGGCCTTAACCACGCCCCCTTCAGAAACTTTCCAGAAGGGCTACACTTCCCATGTCCTCTCAGTCACCTTTCCCCCCCACTCCTCACCCCGGCCCATCACGTCCTTCACCCGATGCCAGGGTGACTCGTCCTCACATGCCCCCCTCCACCAGCAGCCCTCACCACGCTCCCCCATGACCAAGTATGTGGCAATTACTCGCTGCGCTGGCGGAGTGGCTGCTATTCCCTATTCTGTCGGTAGGACTCATTTGCCTCTTTCTGCTCACACCCGGTACCACACCCCTAGTGACCCACTGTATGGTATTGCACGGTGTGCTAGACTCTGCACCCATATTTCCTTGTTTTACAGCACTTAGCGCTACGTGCCTTAGTGATCCATTTTACATCACTACACAGGCAAGACTGATGAGTCAGATGCCTTCTATGACCTCCTGCTTCAGGTGCTGGCTGAAGTGGCCCCTCGGGAAAGAGTCATCCCATTGGGTGACTAATTCCCGAGTGGTGATGTACGCACAATGTAGGTACAACATTTAAGGCCAGATCAGATCAATAAAAATGTCAAGAGGCTGCTAGACTTCTGTTCAGTTCATGGGCTTGTAATTACCAACAAGTTTTGGGAGCAGAGGTCTCAATCCAAATCAGCTGAGCGGCATTATCTTTTTTTTAGGTGCGTAATGCTGTTGTGTGGAAGCGACCTTGTCTGGCACTTCATACAAAGCTCCAGGTGTTCTCAGCCACAGTTATTTCCTCCCTTTATGTTTTAGAAATGTGACCCTCTCTAATGGAATATCTGCACCGGTTTGAAACATTCAGGCTGGCCTGCCTACATTCCATCCTTGGTTTCACCAGCCTGGTTTGTGTGATGAGCTCGCAGAGCCCTGAAAGATCTGGACACATTCCCATCAGTGACCTCGTTCAGCAGGCTGTATTTGTTGGGTCATGTAGCCTGCATGCCCAGCCACTGAGTCCCCAAGCAGCTGGAGAAGAAATGGATTGATGTGGTACAGGAGGATATGGAGCTGATTGGACTTGCTGAAGACAGGTATTAGTGGTGGAGGAGGCTCATGATGGACGCTATATTGTAGTTGAAGACAGTCACCCTCCAGCAGCATAGGGCAGAGGAGCGAATCTCACAACAATGAGCAGAACGCCAGGTGGATAAAATACAGTAAGCTGGAAAAGTAGAGGCATCGGTGGTGAATCTGCCAGTCATCTCGATCAGTCATCTCGGTCAGTCACCTCCTTCCAGCATCGAGACTTTCACACATCACGTGGCCTCAAAGTGCACCTAGCCTGGCACAAGCCCTGTGGTGACGTCACTGCCACGTCGTAGCGAATGGCAGTTGTTGTACGTTTTCCTGCATTCTGCAGAATGTGAGTGAGAGTGTTGCTGATGGTGCTGATGGTGTTGATGATGTTAAATTTGTTGATGGTGATAGTTATTTTGCTGATGGTGATGTTTCTGCCAATGGTAATGGTGATGTTGATGGTGGTAATGTTGGTCTCCCAGATGGATGTTCACCGACTTTTGACACGAACTCAGCCCATAACCTGCTCCAGATTTCCCCGGATCTCAGGATGGTGGAGGTGACCCGCGACCCCCAGCGCCACCCCAATCACCCCCTCCGGTTTGAGTTCTGTCCACAAGTTCTGTGCTGCGAGAGCTTCTCGTCGGGTCAGCACTACTGGGAGGTGGACCTTGGTAACAAGGGGCAGTGGTGTTGGATTGGAGCCGCGTACGGGACGATCCCACGGAAAGGAGACAATGCTGCATGCATCCTGGGAATGGGCGATGAGTCTTGGTGTTTAAAGAAAGATGGCACCCGCTTCTCAGTGAGTCACGGTGGAGTGGAGACCCCAGTAGAGGTGAGGGAGCCTCTCCGCAGAGTCGGGGTTCTTCTGCACTGGGAAGAGGGGCTCCTGGAGTTTTACCGAGCAGACTCAATGCAGTCCCTGCACGCAATTCATGACCGATTCATTCTGCCTCTCCATCCCGCGCTGGGGGTGGGGGGTGATTACATGAGGATAATGGATCTGAGCTGTGAATCCTGAGGGTAGAGAGCGACAGAAATCCAAGAAACAGAAGGGAAGTTAGAGGAGAGGGGTGGTGACGGTGGAGGGGTGAGGGGACGAATGGTGATGGTGGAGGGGAAGGGTGAGGGGTGAAGGTGGAGGTGAGCGTCGGATAGGGATGGTTTAATTTTATTTGTAAGTTGTTGGATGATTTGTTTGCCTATCCTGTACTTTGCATTGGTCATTGTTGTAACGTGCTTACCTATTAAAAGAGTTGTAAAGCTCATCGGATTAATCTAGTATAAATACATATTCTTATTCCGACTCCAATGGTGCAGACATTTGAATTATTTTAATAAAATGTGAGGAATCGGCCCAGTTGTGTGGTGTGATCCCTGCTTCAATTGGACTGTTTGGCGTTGTCACCAGTGCAAACCTAACCATATCCTGTATAACTTGTACTTCTGTATATGTGCACCAGAGGGCATCACGTCGCATTGTACTTTACAATCTGTAGTACTATAGGCAGCTGCAACCCAACACCTCTGCCCCGTGTTCCCGAGGTCCACTTTCCAGTAGTGCTGACCCGACAAGATGCTCTTGCAACACAGGGCGTCACATATCCTTGAATTGTACAACTTGTACAAGTGTATATGGGCACTATATGGGTGGGAAAAGTGATCCTCACCACCGACCAAGGGGAGGGGTGGGCGCTTGGCCAAGCCTTGCTGGAGTTCGTTAGGTTGTGGTGCGGCCTGTTCAGCACGTGGCCAGCCTGTCCTTGCCTGCACACACTACTTCTGAGACGTTTCCTCAATGTCTCCACAACGACCAGGAGCTGCTCTCCCAGCTCTCCTCGTTAAACCTCTTCACCAAGCCATTAAACTAGGGGTTGTAGGGTGTGTGTAAATATTTGTTAAATAGACAACAACCGCCCTATTTTTCTCACAAGCTCTGCAGTGAACTGTCTCTCTTTCACCCAATAGCTCCCATAGGACTTCTGTTCGTGAAAATATATTCATTAGAGCTTCTGCCACCTCCATTGTCCCTATGGATTTCAATATTTTCGCATCTGGATAACGTGTTGCGAAATCCACCATTGAAAGTGTGCTTATAATTCATATTTACCCAAGGGAGGCTTCGGCACCCAGCCTTAGCTATTGTCCATTGACAGGCATCACACGATTGGCAATATCAGAATTGACATCCGGCCAATAATGGTTTACGAACTTGTGTGCGTGCTACTTCCATATGACCAGCCATGAATGAGTCATGTGCCAACCTCATTACTTGTGTAGTGAGTCTGAGTCGCAGACGTTAGTCTTGGGAGCAACACGTTTTATTCAACTCTTAGCACAAAATACTCCAGGCTATTAACACAACACTCAGGTGGCGACTACCCAACTAACCACTCTACGGCGGAACCGGACACGGTTCCACTATCTCGGTCCGGACCACAAGCTGGGTCCCGGACCGTGTGGCTGGAGGCTTCTTCAAGCCTGACGTGGATCTTCTGCCTCTCCAACAGTTAGAACCCCGAGCCCCTCACAGCCCTCCCCCCCCCCCCCCTTATATCGGGTCGTTGCCCGAAGGCTCTTGAGAGTTATTTCCAGACCATGTGACCACCCATTGGCCCCCTCCACCGGTGCCCTCCCTCTAGTATCATCCGGTCACATGTCCCCAGGTCAACCAGAGTATCATGCCGCCAATGTACCCCTAGCTGGGTGACACTCTCTCGCTCTCTCCAGCGCTCGCTCAACGACCTGGAATCCCTTAAGCTGCCGCCCGAGTGCAGCGAGAAGCTAAAGCCCGTCAATGAGCGCGCCACCCTCTTTCGCTTCACCTCCAATGCTATGATCAATAGTGATCTCTTGCTCCGATGACACGTTGAGGGCGGTGCTTATCTCCAAAAACTCAAACACACGTGTGAAAAGCCGTGCATGACGAGTGCGGCAAGACGTTTCTCGCGCTCGGCCTACAAGTATTTTTTTTGCTTGTGTGTTAAACTGTGTACCCTTGATATTTTAAAAATTGCAGGTCTCCTGCTGTGTATCCTACTGCTGTCCATCCCGGCCATACAGTGAGGGAAAAAAGTATTTGATCCCCTGCTGATTTTGTACGTTTGCCCACTGATAAAGAAATGATCAGTCTATAATTTTTATGGTAGGTTTATTTGAACAGTGAGAGACAGAATAACAACAACAAAATCCAGAAAAACGCATGTCAAAAATGTTATAAATTGATTTGCATTTTAATGAGGGAAATAAGTATTTGACCCCTCTGCAAAACCCTTGTTGGCAATCACAGAGGTCAGACGTTTCTTGTAGTTGGCCACCAGGTTTGAAAACATTTCAGGAGGGATTTTGTCCCACTCCTCTTTGCAGATCTTCTCCAAGTCATTAAAGTTTCGAGGCTGACGTTTCGCAACTCGAACCTTCAGCTCCCTCCAACAGATTTTCTATGGGATTAAGGTCTGGAGACTGGCTAGGCCACTCCAGGACCTTAATGTGCTTCTTCTTGAGCCACTCCTTTGTTGCCTTGGCCGTGTGTTTTGTGTCATTGTCATGCTGTAATACCCATCCACGACCCATTTCCAATGCCTTGGCTGAGGGAAGGAGGTTCTCACCCAAGATTTGACGGTACATGGCCCTGTCCATCGTCCCTTTGATGCGGTGAAGTTGTCCTGTCACCTTAGCAGAAAAACACCCCCAAAGCATAATGTTTTCACCTCGATGTTTGACGGTGGGGATGGTGTTCTTGGGGTCATAGGCAGCATTCCTCCTCCTCCAAACACGGCGAGTTGAGTTGATGCCAAAGAGCTCCATTTTGGTCTCATCTGATCACAACACTTTCACCCAGTTGTCCTCTGAATCATTCAGATGTTCATTGGCAAACTTCAGACGGGCATGTATATGTGCTTTCTTGAACGGGGGGACCTTGCGGGCGCTGCAGGATTTCAGTCCTTCACGGCGTAGTGTGTTACCAACTGTTTTCTTGGTGACTATGGTCCCAGCTGCCTTGAGATAATTGACAAGATCCTCCCCTGTAGTTCTGGGCTGATTCCTCACCGTTCTCATGATCATTGCAACTCCACGAGGTGAGATCTTGCAGGGAGCTCCAGGCCGAGGTAGATTGACAGTTCTTTTGTGTTTCTTCCATTTGCGAATAATCGCACAAACTGTTGTCACCTTCTCACCAAGCTGCTTGGCGATGGTTTTGTAGCCCATTCCAGCCTTGTGTAGGTCTACAATCTTGTCCCTGACATCCTTGGAGAGCTCTTTGGTCTTGGCAATGGTGGAGAGTTTGGAATCTGATTGATTGCTTCTGTGAACAGGCGTCTTTTATACAGGTGTTTACGGGTTCCGGAGACACTTGTAGATGTAACTTCTTTATTACGATTCAACACTCCAACAGTACTCCAACAGTCGAACACTCCAACACACTACACTCCAACAGTCCTGATAATCTGTTACAGCCTAGGTACACAACCTGGGTACACAGTCTAGATACTCTACTCTGGCTACGCTCTGGAACTCGCCCTCACAAGGTCGTAGAGTCGGGAGTTCCAGAGTCCCACCACTGGTTCTCGCAGCGTCCCCGGGTCCTGACGATGGCTGGTCTTGGGTCTTGGGTCTTGAGCTACGACTGGCCCTGATCGTCCAGGGAGCTCCGCTTTTATGCCCAGTCTCCAACGAGGGGTGGGGCCGTGTGCGCCCCCAGATATCCCACAGAGCACACACAGCCCCCCCTCTTTGGCGGCGCCAAGGGGATTAAGCGCCTGGGAACTCAACGCCTGACGCCAAGAGGCTTAAGCGTCTGACCCGCCTGAGAACCCACCGCCTGGTGCCAAGAGGCTTAAGCGCCTGGCCCACCCAGGGTCCCAGAGCCCCCAGCAGCCCCTCCCTTCTTATGTCACTACACAGGTAACAAGCTGAGATTAGGAGCACTCCCTTAAAGAGTGTGTTCCTAATCTCAGCTCGTTACCTGTATAAAAGACACCTGGGAGCCAGAAATCTTTCTGATTGAGAGGGGGTCAAATACTTATTTCCCTCATTAAAATGCAAATCAATTTATAACATTTTTGACATGCGTTTTTCTGGATTTAGTTGTTGTTATTCTGTCTCTCACTGTTCAAATAAACCTACCATTAAAATTATAGACTGATCATTTCTTTGTCAGTGGGCAAACGTACAAAATCAGCAGGGGATCAAATACTTTTTTCCCTCACTGTATGACTGGGTTTGGACAGTACTTGCTTTTTGAGCAAAACAATGAACGGTGCAATCTGAACCTGGTATTGCATCATACATTATATGAATTGCATCATGTTATTCCTAGAAATAATGGATTGTGCAAATAATAGTTAGGCTTACATCACTCTGCTGAACAAATTGCCCTATATCAGCTCTTGAAATCATTCAGTGTCGTGCTCTCTTATTTGTCAGCATTTGATTTTGCAAAGGGACACATTTATGTTTAGCCAAAGTAAGCAGAGATGCCTCGTACTTGTGTGAACAAAATAGATAACCTCTGCTATGTTTGTGGTGAAGTGACTTTTGCATCGTATATAAATCAGCTCCCAGTACTGTACGGAAGAAACTTGACTCAATTTATCACTCGGCCTTAAGATTTGCATTGAACTGCCCATATAGGAACCACCACTGCGATCTCTACATTGGGTCAAACTTAACCTCTCTTAATGATCGACGGCTTGTGCATCAGATCTTATTTATTCACGATGTACTTACAAAAAAATGTGCAGACTACCTGCTGGATCTCCTCACTGTTTCTAAGAAAAAATGTGGCCTAAGGTCTTCGCTCATTTACCAGCTTCACATTTCTTATTGCCGTACAAATACTGGAGGAAGGGCCTTTGCTATTGCTGTCCCCAGGGTCTGGAATGCTATCGCCAATAAACTGCAACTTGGATCACTACCTGTGAGATCTTCACTCAAAACTTATCTAGAGGAGTTGTACACCCCTAGCTGCCACTGCTAGTCAGTGGCCTGATATCAAAGGTATCGTTCCGGATGACCACTGCAAAGTATGATCTTGAGTTTTTCATTATAGTTTGCTGATCTTTAAAGGTGCATTGAAAAATGTTTATACTCCTACGGATA